GTGGTGTTGGATCCTCGTTTGAAGAGGAAGTGACCCTTCACCCGCATCGTGGCCTCATAGGGAAGCCAGTCGAAATGTGGACCCAGAGCGCGGTATCCCCAACTGCTTATGGTTGGGTCCTTCGTCTGGATAAATGTGTTTACGGCTGCGGTCCTATTCCTAGCGTCTACGTGATTTCGGGCCCTGCGAAACCGAAGCCGTGGACACGCTGAGCAGCGCAGGGGCGCACACGTTAAGCAAGGTCGGGTGAAACAAGCGGTCCGCGCAGATTGGCACGCGTGGAAACAACGAGTACGCATGCAAGGTTGAGCGCGTTGTTTCACTCGCGGTCATCACTGGCGGGTGTTATCGGGGGGAGGGAGGGACGGGTAGGAGCATGACGTAGCGCCCCCCCCCACCCCCAGACTCTGGTGCCGAACTTACTGCGGCAGTGCCGTGGACGCACTGAAGGGGGGGAGCGTTACATCATAGGGGGGGAAACAAACGGGAGGGTAGGGGGCATAACGCGAATTGTGGCCCAAAGGGTAAACAAAAACATTATCTTTGCACAACGCGCGCATGCCATTGTTTGTGCTTCTAACACACACGCACAACTAATCCGCACCGGGGAAACCGAAAGGTACCGATACCGCTACCCCCTGGACCTCCCCGAGGGCCTCCCAGGAGGCCCCAAAAAGGGCCTCCCAGGAGGCCCCGAAAAGGGGAAACAGCCGAACGATAGAGGTATGGGTACCCATCGGTCGGAAGAAGTAGGTAGAAGCATGAAGTAGGAAGGCGTTGAAAGTGGATTGGGTCCCGTCCGCCCCCTAGGGAGGACGAAAAAGGCGAAGCCACTCGATCCTTGAAGCAGGAAGGCGCTTAAGGTAGATTGGAAGCTGGGAATACATACTGTCAACGACCGATGGACACCTTTTCTTCCTCTGACCCACCCTCCGACGCCCCCGGAGAGGAGGGAGAGCAGAAGGCTCGTCGCTCAAAGGAGTGCCTGTACTGCATCCGGAGGGGCGCCCAGCCGTCCACGAGCAGGCAGCTGCGCTGCGGGTCCCACCTCAGGTCCTCTGCCGGCAGGGCCGGACGTGACATGAGGTCAGGACGAGGATAACATCGGATGAGAAAAATAGGAGGAGGACAAATGGCATAAACATAAACCTTTTGGCGCTCCGCGCGGATTTCTTGGATCTGCGCTGGACACCCCTTCCTGGCGCGCTCCGCGCGCCAGGGGTGGTGCCGGAGGCGCCGCCGGGGGGGCCCAGCGCGGATCCAAGATATGGCGTTTTTTTCTGCTTCGAGGTAAATCGATCGTCTCTGAGGTCTGGCGACTCTGGAGAAGGTCTCGGGCGCCGCGACTTTCTCAGAGCGTTCTGGAAGTTTCTCAGAGCGTTACGAAACGCCCTGGAACGGATTGATCCTCGTCCTAGCCCCGTCCGAGGACGGGCGGGGGGGGGAGGGGGACGGCAGGATGGGAGGCGGAGTAGCAACACGGATAGGGAACAACTCCTGGGACGTCGTCGTCAGAACGATCAGGGCCGATAAAACCAGCTTAAGGGGCCTCAAGCCAGATGATCCAAGATTAGACCAAGTATTACGCCGGACTGTGCGGAATTAAGCAGGACTAAGCCAGTCTCAACAGGAAATGCAAGTTTTCTAGGCACAGATCTACCAGCAAAGATGCTGAATCAAAGCTCCCAAGAGTTGCATCCTACTTAGAGAGGATTTCCAGAGGCACCCCACTCGTCTCGAGCTCGGTTTCGGCGTGGAAACCAACTCACGGACTGATCGACTCCGTGGGGCCAATGCCGATATGATGCCTGCGCTATAACGATCGGCACAAGACCAGTGCCAGCAGCGGCGGCAACCGAGGGAGGACGTGGAAGGAAGAGGACGGAGAGGAGGTGGTGAATGGCGCAAGGGGCAGGGGTGAGGCATGATAACAAGAATTGGACACGGGATTCTCGGAAAGAGCAAGGACTACACATGCAGGGTTTGGGGAAGAAACATCGAGATTCGATCTATCCGACAACATCGTATTCACAACACGCGAACTTGTTTCGCCCCTGAGCGTCGCGGACTCCGCGACGAACAAGATGAGAAATAAAAGGAGACGATCGTTGAGGGTAAAAGACAATGGGGACTGGCAAAAAAAATAATACGGCGATACATTGCCGATAGATCGGCAAGTTCCTGGGCAGGGTGGAGCTATCGGACCCCTATCGGCTATCGGCGATCAATGGGCGACGATTGGGGGTCGTTGCACCCCCCCCTGTGCGTATTCCCTCCTGTCGCTGCCACCGCATCATGCAAGTCAGGGGAGGGTAGGTGGAGAGGCGGAGACGGCTGCGGAGCAGGGGCCAAGGCGGAAGGAGGGAGACGGGAGGCAGCGAAAGCTGGCGAGACGCGGCAGCTGGAGATCGACGGATGGGCCACGAAACGTCTACAGAAGGGGCCCGACCACAAGAAACCTTCCACACAAAAAAAACAACCCTGAGACCCCAGGACGTCCGCTGATTTGTTGGTGTGGGAACGTCCCGCCTTCCACAGCAGAACCATCGAAAGCCAAGAAGCCCAGGGCACCCTGGAGGCAAGCAAGGTGTTTCATGGCATGGGCCCCCATTGTACGCCGCTGAACGCCCGTACCGCTTCCCAGGGGATCGATGCATGGCTTGCTGCAAGGCACATTGCTGCAGATGCCTTCACGTCGGAAGCGGCGCGCCGAGCCCAGTGAGACGATTCCATCGTGCACCGCATCCTTCTTCACGAGCGTCGAGCTTGGTAGTTCGGCACAGGCTGCCCAGGGCCAGCGTGGATTCCATCGAGGCCTAAGATTGGGCGGGAACGGGGCAGGAGGAAATACGGGTGTCGATCCGGTCAGAGGACTCCCGCTCCGTCCATGATTGCTACCTTCACGTCGATTCACCGTCTCGACGACTCGGGTACGCGATGTTACGAATGTTGCGGATCGGCGACTGCGGCCACACGTAATGAGAGGCGCTCCTCCTCCTCCTCCTCCTCCTCCTCCTCCTCCTCCTCCTCCTCCTCTTGCTTCTCCCCTCTGCCCTGCAATGGTAAAGGTTCCGCTCTTCCCCTGGGGAGCGGCTTCATCTTGCCGGGGGGGGAACCACGAGAGTCACAGTATGAGGCTGCAGCGTTTGCATAGTACATGTCTATGTGAAGGTGGTGCATGTTATGCCCACAGGGTTATGCGTTTTGCACCAGAGGCCTGGACCCACTCCCAGGGACCAGCTTTGCATCCTGCGTCGTTTTTGACGGTCCTGAAGGCCAACCCAAACGCCCCCAGATTGGCACGCCAACCGCACATGTTGTCCAAAACCGACAGCGGCCGCTGTTGGGCAAGCGAGCTTGTGTCTCAAACGGACAATGCCCGCGGCGACACAAACAACGAACCCGTTACGCAACTCGGGCTGGGCGAAAGGGGGGGATAGCAAAGGGGGGGTTTGAGAATCAGCTCACGTAGATGATTTTCCCGGCGCCTCCCGGCGCCGGAGGCGGCCATGTATCGAGGAATAGGCCTTTCGGTGGGGCAGAAACCAGCTGCATGCAGCAAATTTCGCCCCCCCCCCCTTCCCTATCCCCCCTTTCGTCCGGCCCGAACAACGAACACGAACTGCTGTCGGTCTTCGTCACCATGCATTCCGTATCCGTGTCCGTCGTAGCATCTCGGTCGCCGTGATCTCTTGGAGGCCTCCTGGCTGGGGTCCGGGCAGATGGGGTCGAAGGGGTATCACGCCGCATCGCCGATGTATCGGCGATGCATCGGCAGTGTATCGGCGATGCATCAGCAAGTCGGCATGGAGAAGCATCGAGCTGCACGTCGCGCCGCATCGCCGATGCATCGCCGATGCATCGGCGATCCGGCGCGATCCCCAAGACCCCCCCCGACTCAACCCGACGACCCAAACTTCGGCTGGGGGGTGGGGTAATGACGGGCTCCAGCTGTGTTTCTTCCGTGTTCCCCGACCCCCCCCCCTCCCCCTCAGGGAATTGAGGGGGAGGGGGAGGGGGAGGAGGAGGAGGAGGAGGAGGAGGAGGAGGAGAGGAGGAGAGGGAGGAGGAGGAGGAGGAGGAGGCGGAGGGGGAGAGGAGGAGCGAGGAGCAGCGAGGAGGAGGAGGAGGAGGAGGAGGAGGAGAGAGGAGGGGGAGGAGGAGGAGGAGGGTGGGCCAGGGTGGCTTGGTGGGCGATGATCACTACTCCGACCCCCTCGGCGAGGCGTGCAGCCGGGCCCGGGCCGGCAGCACCTCCCGCCCCTCGAGAGCACGAGGACCCTCTGGCGGCCCTCGGCGTGCCTCCCTCAAGAACGCGAGCCTCTCTGGCGGCCCTCGGCCTGCCGGCCCCCCCCCCACCCCAGGATGCACCAGGAACTGCCAACAATGTTGGAGGCCTGGAAATGGGCACCAACACCAATACAGGGGGGTGCCTCCACAGGGGGAAGATGGCCTTAGATTTCGGTGCTGGTGGTAATCTTTCGGTCACCCTGCAGCCAGAATATTACCACCACCACCGAGATCGGAATCGTCCTCCCTCGGTGGAGGCACACCGCCGATCTTGGTGTTGGTGTCAACCTCTAACTAGGCCTGCGACAGTGGGCGGCGCGCCCGGGGTGGGGCCACGGGAAGGGGCGGGCCTCCTCAGAAGGCTCGGAAGCCCCCCGGGCCTTCCGAGGAGTCGTCTGCGCCTCCCCCGAAGACGCAGCAGAAAGTCTCAGAGGGCGCGAGGGCTCCCGAGAAGTCCCGCCGCCTCCCGAGAAGGCATTCTTCTTCTCACTTCCCCCCCTCGCTCGCCGCCGAAAATGACACGAAGAACATGAGGGTGCCCTCCCCCAACCGACGTCGACCATACACCAGAGGCCTCCTAGATGGGGTCAGAGTGGATGGGGTCGGAGGATCGCGCCGCATCGCCGATGCATCGGCGATGAATCGTCGACGTCGGCGATGCCTGGGCGACGTCGGCGCGGAGCAAATCGGGCTGCGCATCCAGCCACATCGGCGATGCATCGGCGATGCGGCGCCATCCTCCGGCCCCACCTGCCCCGACCCCACCCGGGAGGCCCAGACACACCTCGGCCCGACTGCAGACTGCCTCGCGCCGCGACGGGAGGGCCCTCGCCATCGCTCGGACGTCCATTCCCTGTGCTTTGTTCGGCTTCGTGCGTGGTTTTTTTCTCCAAATGATCAAGGATGCTCCTCGATGGCCCCCACCGAAGAAAGAATGCACACGTCCGAGCGATGCCAAGGACCTGGGCTCGCCGCGGCCGCGGGCGCAGGCGCGCGCGCAGCGGCGGCGCGGCTCCCGCGCCGCGCCCAGGACCGTGGAGACGGCCGAGGCCGCGCTGACCTCCCGGCAGTTGCTCGTCCACTCGGTCTCCTGGGCCGCGGCGGGGGGCACCCCGGGGGCGCGCGGGGTGGGGGGGAAGGGGGGCGAGGGCTCCGTCGCTCCTCTTTCGCACGTAAGGACCACATCCCAGAACTAATTTCGAGCACCCAGAAGAGTATCGAAACAGTGTCGAACGAGTAGTGCCTCCCAGGGCCCGGCACGCGAAAGACCTGACGTTTCGGTCCTGTCTCGGTGCTCGAAGCTCTTTCTGCTGATCAAAGGCTAAAGTAGGTTGGAACATCAGAGGGAGCAGGCCTTCGCAGAAGGCGGCGGGGCTTCTGACAAGGCCTGCGGCCTCTGAGCGGATTGCTGTCTGCGGGGAAGTGATAAAACTCACGTTAATCACTAATTTCGGGAGAACGTCGGGAAACGATGTTGGGCATGATGGCATCATGATGGGAAGGACGAATACGACGATAGTGCAACGTTTAGGGGGAAGGTGGAGGCGGGCCTAGGAGGAGAGGGCGGGAGAGGGGAAAGAGGAGAGGAGTAGCACGAGAATGGGAAGTGGAGGGTCAGGAGGGGCAGAGAATGAGGGTCAGACTGGGGAGAGGAGGAGGGTCAGGGAGGAGGTGGCGGAGAGGAGACCCGCTGTTCTCTCCGCCCTGCGAGCGCACGTCCTCCCAGTGCGCGGGGGCGGTGCCGGCGGCCAGGCGGGCCCCGGCGGGCAGTGGCCCAGGGCCTCAGCGGCCCAGGGCCTGTGGCCCTGTGGCCCCAGCGGCCCAGGGCCTCAGGGCCCAGCGGCCGGCGGGGCCGGCGGCCGCTGTCTGGGCTGGCGGCGACGGGCCCTGAGGCCCTGGCGGCCCTGGCGGCCCTGGACCAGTCCAGTCCGACAAGGTCCAGGGCCAAAACACACAATGTGAAAATCACGGGGCCTGGAGGCCCTGGAGGCTGGATGAGTCGCTCTTCTCTCTCTCTCTCTCTCTCTCCCTCTCTCTCTCACAAGTCCTCTTTGTCTGTCTCTTTATCTATCTTTTTCTCTTTCTCTCTCCAGGCCCCCTCCTCCCTCCTCCGCCTCCTCCTCCTCCGTTTGCTCATCGTCATCTGAACTTTCACGGCAGTGATCGTCACCATCATCGCCTCCACCATCATCACCATCATCATCAGCACCATCAGCATCAGCATCATCATCAGCATCATCATCATCAACAAAACCACCAACACCATCATTGCCATCATCAGCAGCATCCTAATCATGGTAATCCCCTCATCCCGAGTGGAGCGGGGATGCGGCCTGCCTACTTCTTCGCGGAACCCTTCTTGGTTCCGAGCGCCTCGAGAAGGCGCGCTTTGCTGGCGAGCTTGGCGGCCGCGGCCGCCTCCGCCTTGGCCTTGGCCGCCTCGGCCCTGGCCGCCTCAATAAAAGCCTTGTTGGCGGCGTTGGCGGCCGCGACCGCGGCGTCGGCGTCGGCGCCAGCGCAACCAGGGCTGATGGCGGCGCTGGCGCACTCAAACTTAGACTCAGCGGGCGCGGGCGACGGCGCCGGCGCGGGGGGGGTCGGGCTGGGGGCCGGGGCGGCCGTGCTCGCGGTCGCCTCACGGCCCTCGCTCAGGCTCAGGTCGTTCTTCTTGGGGCTGGAGGGCTTCTTCTCGGGCTCTGGGTTGGGTTTCTCCTCGGGGATCTTCTGCTGTTCGTCTGAGCCTGAGCCTTTGTGAAGCTCCGCCCTGTCGGGTTCCTTCTCGTGGTCCTGCTGAGGCTGGGGCTGGGGCTGGCTCTGGCTCTGGTCCAGGTCCTGACGAGGGGCCCCCTTCGCGAACAAGGAACAAGGGGGCTTGTGGTTCTCGGGGTGTCTGGGTGTCTTTTCAGCGTCGGGGATCCTTGGCACCCTGTTCGTCCTGGCCCTGGCTGCCCTGGCCCTCATGGGCCGCGGCCGCGGCGGCCGCGGCCGCGAGGGGCCCAGCGGCGGGGGTCCCTGGAGACGCTGCGTCACCACCATCTCCGACCTTGGTGACGACAGCATCCTCCGCAGACTGTGACTCGGGGCCCCCAGGGCCCCCAGGCGCCGCCGCGGCCGCGGGGATTGCCTGCAGTGCCTTGAGGTAGGGCTTGATGGCCGTCAGGTCGGTAACCTGACTCTCGCCCCTCCCTCGTTCCTCCCACCTCATCTCCTCGGAGGAATGGGGGGTGAGAGGGGGTGGTTAAATGTTTTATTCCACTGGAACGTTCGAGAGCTTGGAGAGCCGCTGCAGCACTGGAGGTATCTTCTTGAAGTTGGCGACGTTGCCCATAGTGACCCTATCAGCCATTTTCTAATCAAAGCTGTCTTCTCTCAGCCCCTCGCGCATCCTCTTCGGAGGAGCCCCCGCGAGGGGAGGGAGAGGGCTCGGGGCGGAGGCGGGGGCCGCGGCGGAGGAGGAGTGGGACGAGGATCGACTGATCGAGCCTCGAGCGTCGAGGAACGAGGGTCGAGGGGATAGGCGGTGGGAGCGAGCGCCGCGAGGAGGAGAATGTATATTCGGATTCGGTGAAATGGGTAGAAGGAGAGGGGGGGGACGGGGGACACGGGGGGATGAGGGAGGAGGAGGAGGAGGAGGAGGAGGAAGGGGAAGTGCTTTTGCAACAAAAGCGGCGTCCTGAAGCCGTGGAAATGGCTCGTCGCCTTCTCTGCGAACATCATGCCCGGCGGAACGTGCAACAACTGCCCACCCAGATAATTGCACCAAGAAGCAGACAACACTAGCGAAAGCATCGACGGCAAGTCGAACCGAATCGAATCGAAACTGAACAAAACATGCACATCGAAAGATCAGACACATACCATGCATCAGAAACCTCCCCAACCCGCACTGCCCATCCCCGCCGTGTTTGCAGTCTGGGTCACTTTGTAGAACTTGACGCTCTTGCTGATCTCACTGATGGAGCCCATCATCTTGAAGCACTGGAGGGCCAAGGCGTAGTCGGGGCTCGTCTGGTCCTTGCTGTGGGTCGCGACGAACTGGGCGAAGTCCTGAAAAGAAGGAGATGACATTGAGAAACGACGAGAAGTGAGAGGATCAGAAAAAACAGGATGGGAAAGACGTCCTCCGTCTTGCACATGACAACCTCTCGCACGCCGTTGAACTGCCAGCGCGGCGTCGGCATGTGCGCCGCCTCCGAGCCCGCCCACCTGTAGCCCTGGCTGACGGAGTAGAGGTGGGCCTTCTGGAGCATCTCCGCCAGCTCCTTGCTGAAGCCTGGCCGGCAAAGGAGGGGGGTGAGGAGGGGGGGGAGGAGGGGGGGGACAAACAAGAGCGGGGAGAGTTACAGGTTACAGGTTATTGATTGGGGCCTGCGGCGCCAGCGAAGACCGAAGGTTGGACGCCCTCGAAGTCCTTCGCAACCAACGTGAGAACGGAGGTCGCTACGTCTGGGGGCACACATGCAGTCTTCCTCCCGCTGCCTACCTGCATCTGCTGCCACTTAGATATCAAGGATGTCACGTCGGCGCTGAGAGCATTCGTGTCCTGGTACTCCTATCAGGGGCACCGGGCACGACAACAAACGAATGGCCACAGGATCCGAACCTACACATTACCCAGAAGGGACGGTCCAGAAATGCCCTTTCACTTTGGAAATCGGGCGCCCCAGCCCCATCTCAAGGCTAAAGTGCAAGGACATTTCTGGACCGCCCCTTCACCTGGACAGTTCTAACCTAATGGGGTCCTTGAAGAGAAGAGGTTCCAAGGGGTCGAACTCGGACGGAATGGGCGTGCCCTTGTCGAACTCCATAGGCTGCACGATGGTGCAATGCTCCTCGACGTCGACGCCAAACAGCTCCTTGTTGACAGCAAGATCGGACGGCTTCTTGACGGCGCCTCCAGACGTGGCCTTGGCCAGAGCCTTGGCGAGGGCCCTCGCGAAGCCCTTGGACTTCATCTCCATGTCCTTCTGCTTTTTCTCTGCGTTCTGCTTCAGGTTATTTTTCTCCGTCTTGACAGCGCCCTGAATGCGTTTGGTAATCCTCTTGAAACTCATGACGAGTTGAGTGAGGTAGGCTTCGAGGGAATCCATCTCATCGACGATGTTGTCAAGCCCCTTCTTCGATGAAACCGACGTGGGAAGTGGGAATAGGGCTGAGAAGAACTGAGAGATGGAGGCAAGCAAGTAACTCTCCCATGCTGCGGAGGTTTGCGTAAAGTGCGTTCACTCACACTCACGGTGCCACCGTGCGCCATAGATAGACAGAAGCATCAAGATAGAAGCAATGCGACGAGCATAACACGTTCATCCAGTGCCAGACCTGATGCACCCATCAAGCTTGCTGACCAGTGCAATTCACAAGTACAGTGAGGGGCAATTGGGAAATGTCTCGCGCTGGCTTCGGGACAACATAACGCATGGACCCTGGGACCTGGACCTGGGCTGGGCCAGCGTCGGCAATTCCGACTTGAACAGATCTTCAGACAAACATGCGTGTGCATGTACAATCGTAAATGAGTATTGTGATTGGCATTTTTACAGAGGTGGATGAGAAACGGAATGCAGATCATGGAAGAGAGACCCACGCAACAACAAACGGCAATGCGATACCTCCTCTGCTAACTGCCAAAAGCGGCCAGTCATCACCGATGCTTTGTCAACGATCTTCTCGTAGCCCACCGGGAGCGTGACCTTGTTCTTTATGCACCACTCGAAGAACGCAACCAAGTTGCTCGTCTCCACGGCTGCTTCCCCCCCCCCCCCCTCCCCGCTATAAAGCTGAGAGTGGGAGTTGGGTGCGGACGCATGCTGCGCATAAATCCTCAATGGCGCGATGGGCCCGACCCGACTGCCCGACAGCGGAAAGTCCTGGAGCCCTGGAAACAAAAAAACTCATGCTACAATGCAACGCGCGCGTGCTCCACTAAGTCACTAAGCATTGCAAGAAACATGAAGCACCCTCCCCTGTAAGACCCGTCCTGCTTCTGCAACTTCTGCTCTGCGTTGTCCGACTGCGTCGCCTGCATGCGAGTCTTGGTCAAGTCCATGGTCTCATACTGCTTAGTCTGGAACTCGTGCAGCGTCGGGTACATCACGGCAAGGTCGAAGACGGCCTGGAGGACGGCACCCTGCCGCGTCGCGTTCTTCAATAGAATCTCCAAGCCAATCGACGAGTATGTGTGCCCCTCCAGATAGGTTGACGAGCTCAATTTGTGTTGTTCCTCAGCATCTTTGCATGCCTTCTGGATTTTCTTATCGAACTTTGATACGGCAGAACGTGCTTCCTCCGACCACTGCATCTTCGCCTTCTTTTTCACGGGCTCCTCCTTCTCCGACTCATCTTCTTTCTCCTCCTCCTCTAGATCATCCACTTCCTCTGTGGCGCCCTTTCCACTGCTCTTCCTGCCCGAGTCCACCACCCTCGCCCTGGCGGCGGCGGCGGAGCCGCGGGCCGAGCGCGCCGTCACCGACTTGGTCGGGGAGGCCTGCCTCGAACCACTCCTCGAGCGAGAACGTTCCCGGTCCGAGCGGCCCTGATCGTCATATTCATCTTTCATTTTGACTAGGTACTTGTTGTCGGACATCCTCGCTCTAGACGTATTCTGGTGCAAGTTCGCGCTCCACGTGTCGAGATCCTCTCCAAGTTCTGCTTCAAGTTTTTGCAGGTCTGCTTGTTTGGGATTTTTTTTGTCTTTGTCACCCATCTCTAAACGGTTTGATACTTTTGCTTCGTCGAACCAGCACACGAAGTCCTCGACTGGGACCAGGACGCGCTGGGTGCCCTGACCAGTGGTCTCGTCCACAGGGCCGCCCATGTCCGTCTCCTTGCCGCTGTTCGGGTTGATGTCCTTGCTCCATCGCCCCAGGGCCTGGGGCTGGAGGCTGGGGGCCACGGTGGAGGGGGGGGAGGAGGAGGAGAGGAGGAGGTGGAGGAGGAGGAGGAGGAGGAGGAGAGGGAGGGAGGAGGACGAGAGGAGGATGAGGATGAGGATGAGGAGGAGGAGGAGAGGAGGAGGAGGAGAGGAGGGAGGAGGGGGAAAGGGGGGGAGGAATCGGAGGACGGCTGTCTTTTCAAGCAGGTGTGAAAAGACCATACGCGGGAGGGGCGAGAGGAGGAGGAGGGGAAGGATGATGATGATGATGATGATGAGGAGGAGGAGGAGGAGGAGGAGGAGGAGGAGGAGGAGGGGGGAGGCGAAGGAGGAGGAAGAGGAGGAGAAGGAGGAGGAGGAGGAGGAGGTGGAGGAGGAGAAACACCCCGAACTCTGTGCAGCCATGCTCAGTCATGAAGTGCTTGACATAGCGGTGCTTGGCCATGTAGACTCCTTTGGTTCCACGCTGGCTCACCTACCCTACCCTCTCCCCAAGTTGCCGCAAGTGTTGGATTCAACATTCAATTACAATCAGCAAAGCTCTAGGCCAGGCTCTAATCACAACAACAAGTCTAAATCATGCACTCACGCAGCACACAAGGGAAAGACGAATGCGCACACATGCAAACCCAATGCGGACATTCTAACATTCGGAACAAGAAGATATGTGAGATGTGGTCACCTGGCTCTTCTCGTACACTTTGGCAAAGCGTGCGTAGTCGAAGGATCCTCTCGATAAGCCCCTGCCACGGGCCTGCCCTGCCCGTATATCGCGGGAGGCTCAAGGACAGGGGGGGAGGTGGAGAAGCCAAGATCTCACGAGACACAAGCGTCTGAAAGGTCACGTCCAATCCATCATATACAATCTCAGATGCTTCGATGCACCCCGCCCCGGGCCCCGCAGAGCCCATAACCCTCCCCTCCTTGCACATATTCATGTACGTCTTGAACCAAGTCCTCCATCGCTCTCCGCCGAGCTTCCGAAGCTTCAAGAACTCTGCGTGTTGCTTCCCTCCTTGCCTTTTGCTGTCCTCGAAGGCCGCCTTCACGGCGTTCAGATCCTTCCCGCAGTACTTCTCCCGATCTACACACGGCATCTCCTCGCGCATCATGCAAAACTTCGTGCCCTTGCCCTTGCCCGTGTCATTTTTTTGGTATGGCCCCTGGATTTCTTGTCCTTCTTATTCTTCTGTTTCTTCTTCTTCTTCTTCGATGAGGAAGAGTTCGACGAGGAGGAAGAGGCACTCTTAACGGGCTCGGCGGCCGTGGCATCAAGGGAAAGGTCGTCATCGCACAGGCCGTCCACGTCATCGTCTATCACCTCCAACGTCACGCCCATGGCGTCCACGGCACCTGCCCTCCCTCCCAATGCAAAATTACGAACGTGCGAGTGCGCACTCATGCGGCATGGCGCAACACGAACAAACATCGGCGACATGCAGATCACAACTGCGCAGCACACTTCTTCCCCGTGGCACAGACTGGAACATAAGAAACCCAACTTAGCCGCGCAGCACGCTTCGCGCGCAAGCTCACATACATCGAAACACAGCGGGACACGACGCACGACTTGCAATCCATACCCCTCCCACCAAGCAAGAAAATAGAATACTTGAAGCAGCCCACAATAAGCCACAATATTCAATAAACAAATCCACTCAGAAAGAAACGAACCCTTGCACCAAGGCTGCCAGTGGCTGGCGGCCGGCGGCGGCTGGCCCGGCTGGCGGCCGCCGAAAACTCCAGGGACAACGTCCTCTCGAGCAGAGAAAGCGCAGCGACGCAAGATGAAAGAATGGCAGACACACCATAATGCACTCTGACTGCAGAGGAGGTCGGAGGCGGTCGGGGCTCCAGAGCGGGCGGAGGAGACTCAGGAGACTAAGAGGAGGAGCCTAGTACTAGGAGGAGGGGCCAACCGGGCCAAGAAGGAGGATGACGAGGAGAGGAGGAGGAGGAGGAGGAGGAGGAGGAGGAGGAGGAGGAGTAGGAGGTAGGAGGAGGGTGGTCTTTTCAAACAGGCTTGAAAAGACCACGCGAGGGAGGTGTGTGAGAGGAAGAGGAAGAGAATGAGGAGGAGGAGGAAATAGACCCACCAAGTAGCGCTAGCGCAGTACCAAACTGGCGTTCAAACTTTTGAGGACGAGGAAGAGGATGAGGAGGAAAAGGAGGAGGGGGGGCAGGACGGCAGGGGACGGGACGTTTCGGCAGGGATCAGCACTCCGCGAGTGCTGACCCCCACCAAAGCATGGGGGAAGGTAAGAGGGCAGGGTCACCGAGTCAAGAAGCAGACATCAAAGGCGGTGGGAAGGGGGATAATGATGTCGACAATCACACAAGCCCGAGGCCCATTTGTGTCACAAAATATGTCCCCCATGGCCCATCTTTCGCCCTATGTGTTTTTTAGCAAGAAAGGTGTCGTGACAATTTCGTGACCGCTGAGGCTTCTTGGGCTAGCTAAAGTGGCCCAAGAAGAATCCCCTGCGGACGCAACATTGTCACGAAACCTCTCTTGCTGTGATTGGCGAGGGCAAGCGAGAGGACGCAAGACCCTTCAGTGGGGCCACGCTGCCACAGGAGCGTAGATGGCCTAAGGCACGGGCCGCGAACCACAGGACACAATGTTACCCTTGACTTGGCAAGTTCCACCAACAAATCAAGCCCGACTGCAACGAGGCCACCCCAGACCACGGTTTGAGGCAATGTTTTCAAACGGTGCGACGGGGCAGGCTGGACAGACGTGGGCTCCGAATCCACGTTCGCACGTGCCGCACAGCGCGCTTGGCAACATAGCCGCTGCCAAAATGAATATAATGTGTACTCACACGCGTGCAACACCTCGGGGGCCAAGCATAATGTTGGTAACGCGTTTGGCTTGCGAGCCCTGCAACTTACAACAACTACATGCGTGTCTTGCGCAAACTTGCACGGGTAACATGCGTGTGTGTGCGTGTGTGTGTGTGTTGCGCGAGCCCTACATATGTACCGTCTTGTGTGTGACTGTGCAGCTTGGATAATTAAATGGGCGGCTCCAACTCAATGTAAACACACGCGCGCTGCCGCATTCAAACCGTGAAAACCGTGGCCCCAGAGGTATTGACGCATGTTTCGAGCCCAAAGCTCCCAACGCCTATGCAACCACTGACAGGTCGCGCCTAGGTGTGCTCCCGCCCCGCTGCGTCGGGCTGAGCGGCTGGGCTGGCTGGAGCGGGCTGGCTAGTTGGTGGCGGCGCTGTGGCGAGGCTCTGTGTCCATGCGAGCAGACAAGCGAGAGTCTCCCTGCGGATCTGGTGCCAGCACTTTCTGCGCGTGGCCCAGGGCCCACAGCAGCAACTTGCCGACCACTGGGATGCACATACCATTGCCAGCCATCTTGGCAGCAGTATTAGTCGACAGGTATCCACGGTGATAAAGGAACGCTGGAGACCAATTCGCCTGCGGTGCCACCGTGGTGCTCAAGAGACGATCACTGCACAGAGCTGGCAACGTGTAGATGGCCACCAAACGTACGAGTGTGTGCTATCTGCTGAACTGCTGAACCTGAGGCCACCAATGCGGCTACACTGAACACATATCAGAGAGCTAACACTCATGATGCTGCTGCATTGCGTCACACATTCATGTATGCATATGCGTATGCTTTGTCACATAGACACGCACATGCACCCATGCACTTCGCCAAGACAAGCATAGCATCACAACGTCGCCATCGCTTTAACTTTCCCCCAAAAAACACTTCGGGGTGAATATTGGGAGCGCGCGCGGACGCAACGCAACTGATGTGTAGCAACGCAGTACCGCGGCGGTGCACAACCCGCAAACCCTCTCCCCATCTGGCAGCGCTGGCCTCCTGCGCGAGGGCCGTGCTGTTCGGCCCCCAGGCCCAGACGGGCACGCCCATGGCCTCAAGGGCGGGAGGGGGGCGACAACGACAAACTACGATGGGATTGAAAGCGCAATGCAGCAATGCCGCCATTGTTTATGGTTTGCCCCTGGGTTCCAGAACCACATCGAGGGAGCTGCACCTTGCAGCCGAACGGGCCGCCAAGCGCCAAGTGCCAAGTGATACGCCTTGCGGCGCGTGTCTCCTCGGGTCCAGCACAGGAGGGTCAGATGCAGAGGTCAGCGGGGATGGGCGCAAGAGGGCGAGATGGAGAGCGGGGGAGTAACGACTGCTCGCATTGAAAGTGCACTCATGTTGCCCTTAAACCCTCAAAGGCCCCGTGGGAAGCCTGCAAGCTTTCAAGTCCATGAAGAGGCCGGTTCCGAAGAGGTTCGGTGTGCAAGAGGTACGGCTTGCTGCCAGTCGTCAGGCATGGTAACCGCTCTGATCCCCAGCGTCGGTAGCCGCCAGCCTGCCGCTCTATGTCTCATGAAACAAAGAAGTGCTGATGCATTGTTCTTGCATCCCCTAACGTCAACTCCATGACATGACCCCTCCCCCCCCTCTCCATCGTGCCACTTGGCAGCGAACGACAAAGGGGCAAAAAGCACAACGCGTGGCAGGGCAGCATCCAACATCTACATCACATTCGTTCTGCTTCACATCCAGGGTAACTACCAGCTTTGAGCTGAGGCTTCGGCGCGCAATGCACCAATTCCCCTGTCATCCCTACCGCCCCTGCAAGCCTGCTGATTCAAATCGAAAGCAAATGGGGACTCCATCGTGATCCTCCCGATGCCGACGGCCTCCATCCTGTCCCGCATGTAGTGGTAGTACGTCGCCATCTCTCCTCCTCCCCTCCCCTACCCCCGAATATGTATGGCGAGCAGACTCTTGCCGCTCCGAGTTGACCGACCCCTGACCCTACGCCAAAATGATCTTCGGGCGAAGATCGATGCACTTACTCCCACAGAGTCCTGGCCTTCCCACTTGGGCTGCAAGTGCAATGCAGCGCATCTAAACTTCAATATCTCCATCAACCCCAACCCCATCTGTACCCGAAAGCTCCTGGCAAGAACTGGGTGAAGTCCATGACCTCTGGAATGCCTGCGCAGTGGACCCCGTGCTTGTCGCACTGATCACGATACCACTCCTGTGGACGTATGTTGTTTTTTTCCTAACAGACCAAGGGCGCTTGAAAAACATATCGTTTCACTTGCTGTCGAGATTGCCCCACCCCCCTGCAACAAACAAAACACGTTTACCTGATGCTTCGAGGCAATTGGCGACAACGACAGCAATTGTAAAATAAACGCCATGGGAGTGATAGGTGCGTTGTATGGGTCCTTGACGAAGCCCGCAGGGGCCGACCACAGACTGTCAACTCGCGCCACACGCTGTTCTCCAAGGACCTCTGGTAGCTTCTCCCACTCGCCTGTGAACACAAAGCTGTTCCTCTTGAACATCAGGGTGTACCGCCGGCGGCGGGACATGGGGATGCCCGAGCTCTCTGGGCTGGACCGCATGGAATAGATGTCGTAGAATGGCAAAAGTGGACGAAACAACTTCGTGTCGAATAACGGCGTGCATTCGTGGAACACGAACATAGGCTGGCAAACCATAACCCAAGCCCTCCACACGAGAAACGGAATGATGGAAGGATGTTCAACACCACTAGACGTGCCAGCAACACTCCATGCAACACAACTTGTACCTGATCCGTCCATTGTCAGTGGCGGCCCGTATTCATCACGCTGGAGGTTTGCCGATATACATTCATAATAATGCGGGTGTGCATTGCGCCCCGTCCTCAGGCACTTCATAGTCAGCTCATTGTTATCGTATTTGCGCTTCAAGTGGTTCAAGATATCAATATGCATTTTGAAACGCACGTCGCTCGTGTCACCACCTTTGAGCCTGGACTCGCGCAACTCGAATAGAAAATGACTATCGAGCATGCCTTCGATCTCGGAGAATACGTGCCGAGGCTCCTTATCAGGGTCGCAACGATGGCACATGATGTACTGGCAAGTGTTGTCAATGTCGCAACTCGAATGATGAACCAGGTTGGTAACACCTCCCGCATCCCCAATCGTATCCCTACTATGTCACCCACGTGCGCCTAACTCACAGCAGAGAGACTCAGGGAAGGTGGGGGTGCGCTGAACAACAAGATGCGGCGGCAGAAAACCATGTGTCGACACATGTGACCAGACTCCAATGCACCCAGGCCGATGCTGGCAGGCACGCTGCACTTAACTACAAAGGCCCCCCTCCCCTCCCCACCACTGCACTCTGGGAACCCGCGAATCAAAAATCGTAAGGCCATTTCGAACATGAGCACGCCAGAATAAAACGACGTCTGGAAGATGTGCGATGCGTTCTCGAGAAAGCAAACGTATGGGTTCGGAATGCCGCCCAAACTGTCACCAACAGAATCTGCGTACCTCTTAAAC